TCGGGAGGGGAAAAATAGGGAGAGGAGCAGGGGGGCGAGGGAAGGGGGGCGCGGGGGATCCAGCGGCAGCGATCGGAGGTCCGATGAAATCGATCCGATCGACCAGGGGACCTGGCCCGACGGCGGGATCAGCAGAGACCCTATTAGCGCTGGGTGCGTGAGGCCGTCCCATGGACAACCCCGTCGTCGTTCCCAGGGAAGGTCGGTTACGGTCGGTCGTCTCAGCGGAAGGGCGTGCCTCTCTGTGGCCACTGCCCCCGACTCTTGCTCCCTTCCTCCTGGCTGAAGGCCAGTCTCTTCTGCGAGGCTAGCGGCGCGGAGGCTGGGCGCGGCTCTGGTGTCAGCGCCCGTGTCTCCAGGGAGAGGGGCGGCGGAGTCAAGGCGGAAGCCGTTTGATCTGTTCGTAATGCTGTCTGCGCCTGCCGCGCGGTCTTCGGCGTGCCTTCCCAGGGGTGGCCCCGTCAACGTCGAGGTCGGCGTGGTCGGTCGGTCGCCCGCAGCTGGCGCGAGGGCCCACCTCACCTGATGGGGAGGACCCATCACGGGAACACCAGGAGTCGCAGGAGGGTCGAAGTCGTCTCCGTTCGTGGTCACGGCCTCTGCGCCTCTCTCTAAGTCCATTGGCACTGCCTCTGGATCTCGAGCTGAAGGCTCGTCACTTGTGCGGTTGCCCGGTACGCCTTGGGCCCTCGAGCTGAAGGCTCGTTCCGTGTGAGAGTCTCGAACTGAGGGCTCGCCACATCCGCGACTGTCCAACTGGGGGGCGGGTGGCTGACGAAAGTCTTCGGGGTTACAGGAGTGCCCAGGGAGTTGACTGGTCGTTGCATCGCCGTCGGCGCCGAACAGTCCGCTTGGGGCGTCCCAAGCTGCAGGATCGCTCAAAGCTGATGTCTCGCTGGGAGCTCCTCGGGCTGAAGGCCCATTCTCTTCGTGCGCAGTGCTGTCAACTCCAGGAAGGGCGGCGGGCGCGCGGCGACTCCCGTCGCCGCTCGTGGCCACGTGCCCAGCGGCGCTCCCGACGACCATTGGTGCCACCTCCGATTCTCGAGCTGAAGGGTCTTCACCTCTGTGGTTGCTCGATGTGTCTTGGGGCCTCGAGCTGAAGGCTCGTTCCGTGTGGGAGTCCCGAACAAGAGGTTCGTCCCGCCTGAGACTGCCAGCCTGTGGGGCGGGAGGCGGACGAGAGTCCTCGGGATTACGGGAGTGACCAGAGGGGCGACTGACAGCCGCGTCGCAGTCGGCGCCCGCCAGTCCACTTGAGGAGTCCCTAGCAGCAGACTCCCTCAACTTTGCTATCTCACAGGTCGCTCCAATGGCTGAAGGCCCATCTTCTGTGTCCATTCTGCTGCATCCGCGGGGGGCGGCGGGGGTGTGGCGATAGCCATCAAGCCCTCTGTCAACGTCCGCGGGGGGAGTCGGCTGCGGGGCGAAGGCATGGTTCTCCGTGGTGGCAGGGTTGGCCCATTCGCAGCTGAAGGCTGCTTCTCTCGGCGTAGAAGTGTCCAGGGGGGGGCGTTCAGCGGAGTGAAGGCGCAAGCCTCTGTGATGCGAGTCGGGTCCCAGGGCAGGCGTCTGGTCAGGCTGCCCAGGGAGCTGATTGGCTGAAGTCTCTGGTTCTCGAGCTGAAGGCTCGTCCTTTCTGAAGCTGTGAGATATGCCTGTGGAGACTCCACCATCCGCTCGGGGAGGCGTCGTGGACCTCTTGTCGGGAGGGAACTGGTCTCCAACCACGGGCGCTCCCTCAGCAGCACTCCCACCTGTCGCCACAATACTGTTGCCATGGGGGGGGCAATGGGGTATGAGGTGGTGGCCGACGGCCCCGGCGACTGGCAATGTGATAGCTTGAGCTCGTGCCGCCACAGGTTGAGCCCCAACCGCTTGACGCTGATAGGAATGAAGAGCTGTAGGAACGCCTGTCTGCCTGTCTCTGACAGAGTCGTTGTCGGCGTCTAAGCGTCTAGAATTCAACTTGATCTGCTGCGGCTGCAGCTGCTGGGTCCTGTTGCTGCTGCTGCTGCTGCTGCTGCTGCTGCAGCTGTTGCTGCTGCTGCTGCTGCTGCTGCTGCTGCCGCCCTGCTGCTGCGGCTGCTGCTGCGGCCCTGCTGCTGCGGCTGCTGCGGCTGCTGCTGCTGCTGCTGCCCTGCTGCTGCTGCAACTGCCCTGCTGGTGCGGCTGTTCGCCGAGGGCCGCGCCGAGGGCCGCGCCCTCCGCCGCCGCCGCCGCCGGAAGGGAGCCGGCGGCGGCAGCGGTGGCCGCGGAGGCCACTGCGGCCGCGGCCGCGGCGGCAGCAGCGGCGCCGGCGGCCGCGGCCGCGGCGGCGTGCGCGGCAGCCGGCCCCCAGGCGCGGCGCAAGCCACTGCGGCCGCGGCCTCAGCCGGGCAGCCAGCCGCCGCGGCGGCAGCGGCCTCGGCCGCAGCCACGGTGGCGCAGCGGCGCCCGCGGCGCCCCGCGGCCCCGCGGCGGCGGCGCCTGCGGCGCGCGCGGCGCCCGCGGCGTCGGCGGCGCCGGCGGCCGGCAGCGCCCGCGGCGCCTCGGGCAGCGGCGGCGCCGGCGGCGCCGGCGGCGCCGGCGCCAGCGGCGCCGCCAGGAGCGGCGGCGCTGGCGGCGGCGCCTGCGGCGCGCGCGCGCGGCGCCCGCCCGGCGGCGCCAGCGGCGCCGGTAGCGCCCGCGGCGCCTCTGGCAGCGGCGGCGCCGGCGGTGCCCGCGGCGCCGGCAGCGCCGGCGGCGCCGGAGGCGCCCGCGGCGCCCGCCGGCTACAGCGGCGCCACCGGGAGCGGCGGCGCCGGCGGCGCGCGCGGCGCCCGAAGCGGAGGCGGCCCCAGCGGCGCCGGCGGCGCCAGGGAGCCCCGGCGGTGCGCGCGCGGCGGCAGCGGCCTCCAGCCGGCGGGCCAACGCCCTCGAGCCTGCCGCCGCCGCCGCGCCGCGGGCGTCTCAGGAAGGCCAGCCATGCCGAGGCGGCGGCGGCGGCGGCGGAGGCGCACGGCCCGGCCGCGCCGCCCAGGCCGCGCCGGCCACCTCGAGCCCCGACCCCGTGGGAGGAAGCCCCCCCGGGAAATGGCTTGAGCCAAGGCTTGAGCCAGAGGCTACGGAACTGGTGATGTTACGCGAAGCGTCAAGAATATGAGACTCTCCACTGGCCCAACCACCCAAAACCATGAGATCACTCGAGGGTAGCTCCCCCCCAGATGCACAGAAACACCCCACAAGCACGAAGAATATTAGGGCGCCCATCCCCGAGCCGATCTCGATCTTATACCTCGGTCCGACCGTAACCGTCGCAGCGGATCGGGACGCCGATGCTGGAGAGCTGTCGTTTGCGACTCGGGTGCTGCTTTTCGGCAGGCGGGGCCTAATCTCTAAGCGTGTCACGTGCGTTACAAACTCGCCTGTTCGGCAGGCAGGGCCTAATCTCTAAGCGTGTCACGTGCGTTGCAAACTCGAGCCCTGCCCGAAGCACCGGCCTGGCTAGGCAAGCTGGCAGCGCGCAAAAGGACAAGGGTGTAGGCGGTGGGGGGAAGGCTTCTCAGAAGGAGTCTGCTTCTTAGAAGGCGCTGGCCTAACATCTACAGGCAAGGCCCGCGCCTTCTAAGAACCAGGAGTGCTTCTAAGAAGCATTCCCCCTTTCCCTACCCCCCTCTGCGGGTGACCGAGTAAGCAAGGTCTCACGCGAAGTACCACTTCTGGTTCAGGCCGCCATGGCAGGGCTTCATGTAGAGGTTCTTGGACGGATCGTCGAAGCTGTAGTCAAGGCACTTGTCGTCCCACTTCGTCTTCATCTGCTCCCCGTCGAGGTACCACTGCTGATTGGCTCCGCCGTGACAGTGATGCATGTACACATTGTTGTTGCCCGTGTTGTACTCCAAACACTTGGTGCCCCGCATGCTCACCAGCGCCTTGCCCTCGAAGAACACTTTTTTGAAGCACGACATGCCCTGGCCAATTCTCCCCGTTGGCGTGAAGCCCTGATCGGTCTGTTGATGGAAAACCGTCAAGTCATCCGGGTTCCAGCAGAAGGCCTGACATTGGGCACTGCTCGCGCATTGCTCCTTTGCCCACGGGAGCGTCTGCTGATACTTCTGCATATGCTTGAGCGGGGTGGTGTCGCGGCCGGTGAGCTCGTGCAGCGGGTCGTTGTTGTAGTCGAGCCAAGCCTTTTCGGCAAAGAACCACTGTTTGGTCGCATTGCCAGCGCACGGCCTCATGTACGCATTCATGATGCCGTCCTGATAGTCTGCGCAGAGGTGGTCTTGCTTCGACTTCAAGAACTTGTCCCCGTCCTGGCCCCGATGGTCATGCAGAGGAATCCCCTCCAGCATACCAGCCACCGCCCCAGCGCCAATAGCGAAGCCAGTGGCTGCGGCCCCAGCAGGTCCACTCGCTTTCCCACCGGCAGCGTTCACTACAGCCTGCATTGCAACTCCCGCTCCAGCTGATTGCTGGCCGCCTCCCCACTCCGTGGTCGCACCTCCGATCACGAACCCGGCCCCCCAGCCAAATATAATGGTTGCAACAAGTGCAAAGGCGCCTCCAGATGCGCCAGTAACAACAAAGGCGGTGGCCATGAGAGCCGCGCCGATTACCATTAAGCCTATGCCACTCGAGTCACCGCCGCCGTCACCCTTCCCTGCCAAGGCGCCGTCAAGTTGGGCCAGCGCGAATATGGGAGCCCCCCCTGGGCAAGAAGACGCGTTCAACTTTCCCCGCAAGGCCGTGAAGTTGCCCTGCACGATTTGGAACAGCTCTGTCCTTTCGGGGTCGTCCAAGAAGCGGAGGGTGCGCAAATCATGGCCCGAGGCATGTGCGTGCCCCAAGGGGGGGGACCAAAGAACGTATTGAAATAAGAAGAGGGGCCTTGGTATCCAGGAAAATGTTATGGCCCCAGCCATGATATTCACCCTCCTAGTCATCATCTCACTCTTGGCTGTCCCGATGTCCTTGTGACGTGCAAAGTTTTCGCGGCCGCGTTAATCGACGGCGGGTCGGAGCTTAACGGGGACTTGCTAAGCAAGCATACCCCCTCCCAACCCGCGGCGCTCGCAGAAGACACATTCATGTCGATGCAGAGATCCGCCACCGTGCCCTGAGGCACGAGTTGGAGTGTCCTCAGGTCCACACCGAGCTCTCTGCATTGAGTTCTGCAAGCCTGATCGGACAAGAACGGGAAGCACTGATTTTGTCCATTGGGCTCGTAGAGGGGGACAAGAAAACATGGATGATGGCGACGACGAGGCGGCAGATGTCGAGGCTGGCAGCGTGGATGACGGGGAGGGCAGCGAGGGGGGCAGAAGGAGAACGAGAAGGAAGACAAACGCGATGACTAGGAAGAAATGGAGGAGGACGAGTATGAGGAGGAACGAAGCGGAGGAGGAGGAAGAGGAAAAAAAAGGACGACGACGACGAATAAGGACGGTAAAGAACCCGACGAAAAGGACGTCGAAGAAGAGAGGGGTTCTCGTGATCGGTTGAGGCTACCCTCTGGGCTGTTGAGGGCTATCTTGGTGCATCCCGGGGGCTCTTTGGGACCTGTTGGGGTCCTCGTGGGGGCTACCCCCAAGAGTGCCCCAAGAGGTCTACTCCTCCTCCTTTTGTTTCTCTTCCTTCTCCTCCTATTCCTCCTCCTTCTTCTCCTCCTCCTTCCTTTCCTTCTTCTCCTTCTTCTCCTCTTCCTCACGTGTTTCTCGAAGGGTTTGAACGACGACTGGGGGAACACATGGTCCGATAGCTTGGCCAAGCTCTAGCCCAACTTTCGGCCACACAGGCGCTTCCAAAATTCAGGGGGCGGCGGTGATTCGCCGTAGGCGTCTTCGATCCGCCGCCCTCTGTTGATTTATCACAGGGGTGCCCGTCGTGCTGAATATCTGATGGTTTTTTGATCCCCTGGGACTTCGGCCCATTACGCTGGTCACCTGGAAGGCAGTGCCGCTGCACAAAGAAAGTGTCCAAGACGGTCTAGATGGCCTCCAAGACGGCCAAGATGGTCCAAGTTGTCCTGCATGTTCGTCCAAGATTGTCCAGTATGGCTTCCAAGACGACCCAAGGGGTTCCAAGATGCCTCCAAGTCCGCCCAAGAGGCCACCAAGATGGTCCAAGATGCCCTCAAGAAGCCTCCAGGACCGCCCAAGAGGCCCCCAAGAGGCATCCCAGACGACCCTGCCTTGAGGCCACCACGAGGTCTTCCAGGAAAACCCGAAGAAGCCAAAATCACTGATTCCCGTTGGGTTTTTGAAGGATTTGGGCATTTGCTTCTTTTCGGCCTTCCGACGGCCCAAGACGGCCCAAGAGCCCCCCAAGATCGCCCCCCCAGCGCCAAAGAGGCCTCCAAGAATGCCTCAAGAGGGCTCCAAGACAACCCAGGGCCTTCAAGACGCCCGAGGTCGCCTCCCAGACGGCCCTGACGCGCCGCGTTACGGCCTAAAGACGGCGCAGAGAGGCCCCCAAGACGGCTTCTGACTGCGTCAGACGTGCCAAGAACGCCCTACGACGGCCGACGAGGCCCCCAAGAAGCTCCGGCATCACCCCCAAGAGGCCCAAGGAGGCCCCCAAGAGACCTCCACGAGGCCCCAAGGAGGCTCCTTGAAGACCCCAAGAGTGCCCCCAATAGGCTCCCAAGAAGCCTCCCCTTTTTTTGTTCCTTTTCTTACTCTTATTCTTATTATTGTCTTCCTTTTTCCCCCCTCTCCTCTTCTTCTTCTGCTGCTGCTTCTTCTTCTTTCTCCCACACGTGCTCCCCGAAAGGTTTCCACAGCGGCTGGGGGAACACACGGTCCGATAGCTTGGCAGAGCCATGGTCTCAACGTTCGACCACGCAGGTGCTTCCAAAAAGGCAGGGAACGGCGGTGATTCGCCGTAGGCATCTACGATCCGCCGCCCTTTGTGGCTTGCCACAGGGGCGCCTGGCGTGCTTACACCCTGCGAAATGCTTAAGAAATCATGGGTTAAGAAATTCAGAGTCTGCGAATTTGAACAAAAACCCAGAACTCCTAGCAACATCTTAGGATTCACATGGAAACAATAATAATAGTCGAGACTCTGGCCGTAATTTCAAGTTTTCTCAAGCATCGCCTAGGGTGTAGCTCCAGGAGGTTGTCGGTTCTTGCAGAACCCTCCCTGGGGTTTCGGCCAACCCCGCCAGCAGCGGAGAGCCTTCCCCAGCCATCTCCCTTAGACGGCCCCCTTCTCCTCCTCCTCCTCCCCTCCTCCTCCTCCTCCTCCTCCTCCTCCTCCTCCTTCCCCTCCTCTTCTCCTCCTCCTCCCCCCCCGTCGCAAAGCAGAAGCACGAGGAGAACGCGCCAGCAGCGCCAGCATACCCAGGGGTGCCTGGCGTGCTAACTCTCTGATATCTGATGGCTTTTGCTTGCGCTTGAAACTTTACCCGGGGCTTCGGCCCAGCGCGCCGGCCACCCAGAGCGCTTGCCCAGAGCCGGCTGGCAAGGATTTCGATGCTCCAGATGGGCCCCAGATGGCCTCGAAGACGGCCAAGATGGCCTCCAAGTTCGCCCAATATGGTTCAAAATGGCATCCTGAACGGCCCAGAAGCTTCGCCCAAGAAGCCTCCAAGACGGCCCCCAAGGCCTCCAAGAGGTCCTCCAGGAGGGCCCGAAGGGGTCAACATCCTTTGTTCCTGCAGGGTTTCAAAGATTTGTCATTTGCCTCTTTTCCGCCTTCTGACGATCCAAGGGGGCCCCAAATTCGTCCCAATATGGCCCCAAACGCCTCAAAGATGATCCCATGACGGCCCAAGAAGCCGCCAAGACTGCCTCAAGAGGGCCCCAAGACGGCCCAAGAGGCCTCCAAGACGACCATGATGGCATCCAAGACGGCCATGATGGGCCCCAAGTGGGACACAAGTCGGCTCAGTGAGGCCCCCAAGACGGCTTTCGACGGGCCAGGAACGCCCGAAGACTGCCAAATAGGCCCCCAGAAAACTACAAAAGGCCCTCAAGAGGCCCATGCAGGCTTCCAAGAGACCTCCGAGAGGCCCCCAAGAAACTCTCATAAGGCCAGGAGTCCTCCTTCGCCTCCTCCTCCTCCTCCTTAGCCTCCTGCGCTTTCTCGTCCTCCTCGTCCTCTTTCTCCTCCTTCCCCTCCTCCTCCTCCTCCTCCTCCTCCTCCTCCTCCTCCTCCTCCTCCTCCTCTCTCTTGATCATCCCTTTCCTTCGCTTCTTCTTTCTCCCCCGCGTGTTCTCAGAAAGATTTCCACAACGGCGGGGGGAACACATGGTCCGATGGCTTGGCAAAGCTCTGGCCACAACGTTCGGCCACACTGGCGATTCCAAAAAGCCGGGGGCGGTCGTGCTTCGCCGTAGGCGTCTTTGATCCGCCGCCCAATGTGCACGGCGTGCCAGATGTCTGAGTGGTTTGATTCTTTCCTGAAGAACTCACAATGGGGTCTCGGCCCAACCCGCCAACATGTCCAATACGGTCGGAAATCCGCACAACGCCGCCCCCAAGACGGCCACGATGACCCGAGATGACCTCAACGTTCGCCCACGATGGCCAATATGGCCCCACGAGAGCCCAAGATGGACCCACTATGGTTCTAAGACGGCCCATGATGGCCTAAGATGGCCTCAAGATGGCCCAAACGGCCAACAAGAGAACCTCCAGGACGACTCTACGAGGCCCAAATCCTTGTCTGTCCCATGGTTTCTGCTCCTGCTCCTTTTTCCTCCCTCTCGTTGTCTTCCTGTTCCTCTCCAACGTATTCTCCGACAAACAAGTTTTCACAACGGCTGCGGGAACACACCGTCAGACAGCGTGGCCGAGCTCTGGCCGCAACGTTCGGCCACATAGGCGCTTAAACAACAAAAAGAAACATGGGGCGGCGCTGGTTCGCCGCAGGCGTCTGCGATCCGCCGCTCCCTATCGGCTTGCCACAAGGGTGCACGGCGGCGCGCGGGTCGCATTGCAACCATACTGGCCACTTTGCAGCCAGATGGGGCACTTACGACCAGCATGGGTTTTCCCACAAGGGCACTTTACAACCAGGAAGGCCACTTTACAACCAGGCCATGACACGCATATGAGCGACACATGATTTTCAACTTCCGACATATCCGTGGGTCCATGTAAGGGAGGCACTTCGCTCTGAAGCGTGTCGGTGTTAAGGGGACTCATCTGAGGCAAGAATATGTGAAGTGGCGGACTCGAATCGGATCCATCAAGAATTCGATTGGAATGCTCTTTGCACGCTTCCCAAAGGATCCTATTGGCACCAAATAAACCACGTTGGCATCCAACACGATTGCTCGATATGGGGCCTACGGGTGTCATATCGGGATCCGATCGGGATGTTTCAGATTGAAGCCCTTTGGGGCCCTTCCGAATGGAAACCGATTGGAACCCCCATTGGGTTACAATCGAGGGGCCGTCCTACTGGAATGCTGCGGGAAACGCACTGGGGTACTAAATGGAAGCCAGGTGGGCAACAATGTGGGTTCTCATTCGAAAACAGCAGGAACCGTTTCTCTAGGAATCCCATCGGAACCATGTTGGCGAATACGGAGGATATCGCACTGGAATCCAATCGGAATCCTTCCTTTTTCGATCCACGCGGGCGTACTATATGGATACCATTAGGACCCAGCTGTAACCCAACAAGAACCTGTCCTAGGCATACTGTAAACCGAGTGGCGTCCTATTGCTACCCTTATGGTATCACAAAAATATTGGAACCCACTTGAGATCTAATACGGATCCTCACGCTACAGGTGACAGGCCTGGGCGGTGTAAGCCTTGTTGTTACATGTGTGTCCTAAACCTACATCGTTTTTTTGTTTCTGAGCCTCATAACCTCTGCATGACATGCGGATTCCAACTGGTTTTTCATCATAAGCATTTGTTGTCCTCACGCCTAACTGTCTGGCAATAACACGGAAGTTCAGGGGCGCGCTCGGAAGCTTCGGAAGAACGCTCAGAAACCACGGGGAACAGCTCAGAAGCCACTGTTAAGCCCTCCAAGGCCACTGGTAAGCACCCAGATCCACTGGGAAGCGCTCAGAGGCCACTGGGAAGCGCTCAGAGGTGCTCAGAAGCTTCAGCAGAGCGCTCACGCCGTCAGAAGCCTCAGGAACCTGTGTAAAGCGCTCAGAACACTCAGGTGCTCCGGAATCTCTGCATGGCGCTCGGGCGCCCAGAAGCCCCAGAAACCTGTGCAAAGCGCTTAAGCGCTCACAAGCCTGCCTCAGAAGCTTCTACAGAGCGCCCAGGCACTGTGCTGAGAAACGCCAGAAGCCTATGCAAAGCGCCCAGGCGCTCATACGCCTCATAAGCCTCTGCAAAGCGCTCAGAAGCCTCAAATGCCTCTGCAGAGCGCTCAGAAGCCTCAGAAGCCTCTGCAAAGCGCTCAGGAGCATCAGAAGTCTCAAGGCCTCTGCAGAGCGCTCAAAAGTTCAGGGACCTCAGAATCCTCTCCAGGGCGAACCGGGCACTCAGAAGCCTCTGCAGAGCGCTCAGAATTCTCAGAGGCCCCTGCAGAGCGCTCAGAAGTCTCAGATGCATCAGAAGCCTCTACAGAGCGCCCAAACGCCCAGGAACTTTATGAGCCTCTGCAGGGCGCTCAGCCGCTCAGAGGCCTCAGAAGCCTCTGCAGAGCGCTCAGGCGCTCAGAAAGACATGTGCGAAGCGCACAGAAGCCTCAGAAACCGCAGAAACTTTTGCAGGGCGCTCAGAAACCTCTGCAGAGCGCTCAGGCGCTCAGAAGCCCCTGCAGAACGCTCAGGCGCTCAGAAGGCTCTGCAGAGCGCTCAGCCGCTCAGAAGCCACTGCAGAGCGCTCAGGCGCTCGGATGCCTCTGCAGGCGCTGAGGCGCTCAGAAGCATCTGCAAAGCGCCCAGGCGCTCAAAAGCCCTAGAAGCTTCTGCAGGGCGCTCAGGCGCTCAGAAGCTTCTGCAGAGCGTTCAAGCGCTTAGAAGCCTCTGCAGAGCGCTCAGGCGCTCAGGAGCCTCTGTAGAGCGCTCAGGCGCTGTGAAGCCTCAGAAGCCTCTGCAGAGCGCTGAAGCACTTCTGAAGGCTGGTTGTAAAGTGGCCGTTCTGGTTGTAAAGAGTCCCGTCTGGGTTGTGAAGTGGGCCGTTCTGGTTGTAAAGTGGGCTGTTTCTGGCTGCAGAGTAGCCTTTCTCAAAGGGAAGCCATAAGCTTCGATTCTTTGCTTGCTGTAAGGTGGCCCATCTCGATTGTAAAGTGTCGTTCGGGCTGTAAAGAGACAGGATCTCGTGCACGGCGTGCCCGATGTCGGGTGGTTCTCGGGAGCGGCCAAGAGGGGGGTGTCCAAGAGAGGGGGGTGCAAATCATGACTGGCGGCATGTGCGCGGCCCAGCGGGGGGGCCAGGGACGTAATGAAATAAGAAGAGGCGCCATGAAATCTGGGGAAATATCATGGCCCCACTGTCGCGGGCTCCTGGGAGGCCCATCGGAGGTGGGTCCAACGCGGATCACTTCGGGACCTCGCCGCCCCCTGGGGGGGCTTGCGATCTGAGCAATTGTCGCCACGTTCGCGGGCTCCTGGGAGGCCCAGCGGAGGTTCGTCCCACGCGGATCACCTCGGGACCTCGCCGCCCCCTGGGGGGCTTGCGATCTGCGCAACTGTCGCCACTTTCGTGGGCTCCTGGGAGGCCCAGCGGAGGTGGGTCCCACGCGGATCACCTCGGGACCTCGCCGCCCCCTGGGGGCTTGCGATTGTCGCAACCGTTGCCGCTTTCGTGGGCTCCTGGGAGGCCCAGCGGAGGTGGGTCCCACGCGGATCACCTCGGGACCTCGCCGCCCCCTGGGGAGCTTGCGATCTGTGCAACTGTCGCCACTTTCGTGGGCTCCTGGGAGGCCCAGCGGAGGTACGTCCCACGTGGATCATTCGGAGGTACGTCATACGCGTTTCTTTCAACACCCCTATGTTTCCATTTTGTATAGTTGCCGTTCCTCTTCTTGCTGCGCTCTTCTGAAATCACTGTTGGGTGCTCTTCTTGCGCACTGCGGGTCCTTCATAATGCCAGTCAGCATTGAGTGGTCCTGAGCAGAATCGCCACATGTATAGAAAGGGTTGGGTACGTCACAGGGTAATTTCCCGAAAGGCAGGGGGTGGCGGTGATTCACCGTAGGCGTCTCGATAGTTACTCCTGATCAACCGCTCGACCGACGACTTCCAGGTATTGTTACCGACAGTCACGCTCTGCACCGCCTTATAAGAGGAGCAACTTTCTTTGTCCACCTTGTCGCCACTCTCAGCCGCGGGGGCTTTGAGAAGGACCTCCCCACTGCACTGGAGCTTGGCGAGATAGTAGGGAGGCACGCTCGGTGAGTTCTCCCCGAAGAAGTAGGCCGTCCCACCGTTGGAGAAGACGGTCTCAGTCAGGCTCCCATGATTCAGGACCTTGAACGTCTGGAGCTCGGCATCTTTGAAGGTGCACTCGTGGCCCTGCTCGCAGTCGAAGCCCGAGGCGGGGAGCGGGCAGGCGCCCTCCTGCTGCTGCGCGCCATAGAACTTCTGCCATGCCGCCAGAGCCTCGGCCTCGTGCTCCTGTCCGATCCGCCGCCGTGCCCCGAGTCACGAGTCGGATTGTCCTCAAGTTCTTCGAGTCCTCAGTCCTGAGTCCGCCACTCTGCCTTCAGCACGTAATGGAGGATGAGGATTAATAAACGACCGGGGGTCGTGTTCACGCGGCGGCGCCTGGGATGACGATTAGAAACAAACCGGCCGCGGGCTGGAAACCTATTTCTTTAATCGTTCTCCTCCAGTCAGACAAATGTGCAGAAATAGCAGAAAACTGTTTTACCTAACAGCGAAGACTGATAGGTTTCTAGTGGGATCAAAAGAGAGCAGCAGATCACTCCACAAGGGGGTCCGGGCAGGTGTTGGGAGTTGCCGGGCGGCAGGTGCCGGGCTCGTTTTTCACCAACAGTCACACACTTCGTGCTCTTCGACTTCCCAGAACTCCATTCCCAGGCCACATTCTCAATACCCGGATGCAACAGTCACACACTTCGTGCTCTTCGAGATCCCAGAACGCCATTCCCGGGCCACCAACAGTACACACTTCGTGCTCTTCGAGTTCCCAGAACTCCATTCCCGGGCCACATTTTGGATGCCCGGAGCCAACTGTAGGCCACTTCGTGCTCTTCGAGTTCCCAGAACTCCATTCCCGGGCCACATTTTGAATGCCCGGAGCCAACTGTAGGCCACTTCGTGCTCTTCGAGTTCCCAGAACTCCATTCCCGGGCCACATTTTGAATGCCCGGAGCCAACTGTAGGCCACTTCGTGTCTTCGAGTTCCCAGAACTCCACACATTTTGAATGCCCGGAGCCAACTGTAGGCCACTTCGTGCTCTTCGAGTTCCCAGAACTCCATTCCCGGGCCACATTTTGAATGCCCGTAGCCAACTGTAGGCAACTTCGTGCTCTTCGACTTCCCAGAACTCCCATTCCTGGGCTACATTTTCAGCAGGGGCAAGAGCACGACGAGGAGGAGGACGAGCAAGACCAGGAGGACGAGGACGAGCAGGAGCAGGACGAGGAGCAGGAGGAGCAGGAGAAGAAGGACGAGCAGGAGGAGGAGGAGGACGAGCAGGAGGAGGAGGACGACCAGGAGGAGGAGGACGACCAGGAAGGAGGAGGAGGAGGAGGAGGGGAGGGGGAGGAGTACCAGGAGGAGGAGGAGGAGGAGGAGGAGGAGGAGGAGGAGGAGGAGGAGGAGGAGGAGGAGAGGAGGAGGAGGAGGAGGAGGACGAGGACGAGGAGGAGGAGGAGGAGGAGGGGGGGGAGAGTACCAGGAGGAGGAGAACGAGGACCACCAGGAGGAGGAGGAGGAGGAGGAGGAGGAGGAGGAGGAGGAGGAGGAGAGAACACCAGGAGGAGGAGGACGAGCAAGACGAGGAGGACGAGAACGAGGGCGACCAGGAGAGGAGGAGGAGGAGGAGGAGGGGAGGGGGAGGACTACCAGGAGGAGGAGGAGGAGGAGGAGGAGGAAGGAGGAGGAGGAGGAGGAGGAGGAGGAGGGGAGGAGGAGGAGGAGGAGGAGGAGGAGGAGGAGGAGGAGGAGGAGGACGAGGAGGAGGAGGAGGAGGAGGGGGGGAGAGGGAGAGCACAGGAGGAGGAGAACGAGGACCACCAGGAGGAGGAGGAGGAGGAGGAGGAGGAGGAGGAGGAGGAGGAGGAGGAGGAGGAGGAGGAGGGAGGAGAGAGGAGGAGGAGAGAACACCAGGAGGAGGAGGACGAGCAAGACGAGGAGACGAGAACGGGACGACCAGAAGAGGAGGAGGAGGAGGAGGAGGGGAGGGGGAGGACTACCAGGAGGAGGAGGAGGAGGAGGAGGAAGAGGAGGAGGAGGACGAGGAGGAGGAGGAGGAGGAGGACGAGGAGGAGGAGGGGGGGGAGAGCACCAGGAGGAGGAGAACGAGGACCACCAGGAGGAGGAGGAGGAGGAGGAGGAGGAGGAGGAGGAGGAGGAGGAGGAGGAGGAGGAGAGAGAACCAGGAGGAGGAGGACGAGCAAGACGAGGAGGACGAGAACGAGGACGAGCAGGAGGAAGAGGAGGAGGAGGAGGAGGAGGAGCAGCAGGAGAAAGAGGAGGAGGAGGAGGAGGAGGAGGAGGAGGAGGAGGCAGGCTGAGGCTGAGGCTGTGACTGCGACTGCCGTTGCCGCTGCGACTGTCATCGCGAATGCGACTACGACTGCGAGAACAGCAGAATTCGACAACTGGAGTTTCATCTGAATCTTAAGGGGAATGCTTTCAGATATGCTTCTACACATCGCTGTTAGGTTGCTTTGCCGGGATAATTTTATCGTTCTCCCCCATTTTTTGTATTAATCGTCATCCCGCATTAGTGGGGTGCCCCTAGGCTCATGCAGCACTGAGGAATTCAGAGCTGCAGGGGCTTGTAGGGTTATCAGGGCCTGGGCCACCGGTTTCATACGGATTCCTGGGGATTCCCGGGAATTCCCTTGGATTTCTGGGGATTCCCTGGGCGTGTCGCTTGCGTCCTCCAGTAGCGCAGTCGTCCAAACATGGACCCAAAAAGCCTCCAAGATGGCGGAATATCCTTCCGAGAAGGGACAAGAGTGCCCCAATGCATCTCAAATGGCCTCAATACGGTCCAAGAGGCCCCCAAGACTCCCCAAAGTGTTCCAAGAGTGCTCCAAGAGGCGTTCGAAGAGGACCCCAAGAGGCAACAATCATTGATTTTCCGTAGGTTGTTGAAGGTGTTTGGCCTTCTCGCCTTTTCGGCTTTCCGACGCGCCAAGACGGCCCGCGAAGCCCCCAAGATCGTCTCAAGACAGCCCCAGAGGTCCCCAAGAGGGCCCCAAGACGGCCCAAGAGGCGCCCAAGACTGCCCAAAGACGGCCCCAAGAGGGGACCCAGCTAGGGACTCCGAACGGACAGTTCGAGCCCTTGGCCTCGAGGGGTGTCTAAGAGGCCCCACAAGGCTCCCAAGAGGCCCCAAGAGGCCCCCAGGAGGCCCCAAGAGGATCACAAGAGGCCCCTAAAATGCCCCCAAGAGACCCCACACCTGCCCTCAAGAGGCCCCTCAGAGCGCCCCGAAGAGACCTCAAGAAACATCCCCGAGAACATTGACCCACAACCCAAGCATGGTCGAGGGATGGGCCGAAAACCATTCGACCTGAGTCGGCACGGAAACGGAAAGAGCGCCTCAGGAACTTGCCCGAGATGGCTCATGGCACCCTTCGCTCTCGGGAGCCTTGGTGTTGAGAGCTCGTTACGTCACCGCGCGCTCTTGGGAGCCTTGGTGTTCTGAGATGTTTGCGTTGCCGCTCGCTCTTGGGCCTTGATGTCAAGAGCTTGTTACGTCACCGCTCGCTCTTGGTGGCCCTGGTGTTCAGAGACTTTTACATTGCCGCTTGCTTTGGGGGGCATCTTGGGCATCTCCCAGGCCCTCCTTGGGCCGTCTTGTGGCTCTCTTAGGCCGTCTTGGGGTCCTTCTGGGCCGTCCTCAGGCCCTCTTGGGAGCCTCTCGGGCCTGCTTGGGGGCCTCTTGGGGCCCTCTTGGGGCTCTCTTGGGGCCTGCTTGGGGTCTCTTGGGGCCCTCTTGGGGCTCTCTTGGGGTCCTCTTGGGCCGCCTCGGGCTCCCATAATTACCGCCTCTTCGGGCCCTCTTGGGAAGCTCTTAGGGCTCTCTTGGAGCTCTCTTGGGACCGTCTTGCCGTCTTGCCCTAGGGGGGCCTCTGGGGCCGTCTTGTGACGATGTTTGGGGCCTCTTGGGCCGTCTTGGGCCCGTCTGGGGCCCTCTTGGATCGTTTTCGGCCCCTTTCGGGCCGCCTTGGAACGGTCTTTGGGGCCTCTTGGACCGTCTTGGGCCCGTCTGGGGGCCCTCTTGGATAATTGTCGATCCCTTTGGGGCGCCTAGGGCCGTCGTGGGACGATCTTTGGGGCCCTCTTGGGCCGTCTGGGGCCCTCCTGGGACCGAAAAAGGGAGAACCCGAAAAACCGCCCAAAACCGTAGGGAAATCAATGTTATTGGCCTCCTCAGGCCCTCTCGAGGGCCTCTGGAACTGTCTCGAGGCTCTCTTGGACCGTCTGGAGGCCATCAGAGGCTCTCTTGGGGCCGTCTTTGGCTTGTTCTGGGGTCCTCTAAGCAGCTTCATTCGAGAAATAAGAAGAAACGGGCCATGGAAGGCGGCCGCGAACCGCCTCACTCGGAAAAATACCAAAACGAAACGGGCCTTTAGACCATCTCGTCCGCGCTAGCCCCCTCCCCCGGACTTCCTTCCTATAAGGGCTTCGCCCACTGTGAAACGTCTATCGCTCGAACCTCGCTCTTTCCGTCATCTGGGCCGGCACGGACACAGAAAGAGCGGACCAGGAACTTGCCCGAAAGGTCTCACGGCACCCTTGGCTCTTGGGAGCCTTGGTGGTAAGAGCTTGTGACGTCACCGCTCGCTCTTGGGAGCCTTGGTGTTCAGAGACTTTTACGTTGCCGCTCGCTCCTGGGAAACTTGGTGTTGAGAGTTGTCTACGTCACCGTTCGCTCTTGGGTGCACGAGTGTGTCACGTCACCGTTCGCTCTTGGGAGCCTTGGTGGGAAGAGCTTGTTACGTCACCACTTTCTGTTGGGAGCCCTGATGTGCAGAGATTTTTATGTTGCCGCTCGCTCTCGGGAGCCTTGGTGTGACGAGCTTTTAATGTCACTTTCGCGCTTGAGAGCCTTGGTGTGAAGAGCTTGTTACGTCGCCGCTCTCCGTTGGAAGCCCTGGTGTAGAAACTGTTACGTTGCCGCTCGCTCTCGGGAGCCTTGGTGTGACGAGCTCTTTACGTCACCGCGCTCTGGAGAGCCTTGGTGTCAAGAGCTTCTTACGTCACCGCTCGCTGATGTGAGCCATGGTGTTCTTGATTGTCTCGTGGGCCTCGTCGGGGTCTTCTTGGGGGCCCTTTTGGAGCCCATGGGGAGGCCTTTTGGGGCACATTGGGGCCCTTTGGGGCCGTCTTAGAGGCCATTGGCCGTCTTGGGGCTCTCTCGGGGGCCTCTTGCGGCCCTCTTGGGAGCCTCTTTGGGCCCTCTTGGGGC